ACCAGCCGCCGATACCTGCTGCGATGGCGGGATACCTCCCCATCGTCAAGGAGCTGCGGGCGATGCATACCCCCGGTTCGAGGGATCGGTGAGACAGGAAGCTGCGGAGGAGTGGCTCACCCAGATCTCTCAGGACTTGGAGTATCTGCAGTTCCCGTACCAGTACCGGGCTATGATTGCGAGCCATCACTTGTTGGGCCAGGCCCGACATTGGTGGGCGAAGGTGGTGTAGGAGGCACCAGCGGGACACCGTTTCACCTGGGAGGAATTCCGACAGGAGGTCGAGGCGAAGGACTTCCGGAGGCAGGACCATGAGTACCGCATGACCGAGTTCCTCATGTTGCAGCAGGGAGACATGACGGTCAGTGAGTACGAGGCGGAGTTCACCAGCCTACTGATGTATGGAGGGCATCTGGTACCCACCGATGCATCGAGGATCCAGAAGTTCATTGTTGGACTCCGACCTTACCTGCGGAGGAAGATCGAGATCCAGGAGTACCCGACGCTGAGTCGATACATTTCGCAGCTGGAGAAGGTGGAGCGTGGAGAGCAGGAGAAGAATGAAGGGAAGACTCGTGAGCGGAGCCCTTTCAGGAAATGCTTCGGTACGTGTTCATCGGGGAAGAACATCCGGACCAGTGACCCGCGCGACAAGGGCAAGGCGCCGACTGTTCGTGCGCCACCATCACTGACGGCGAGAGGACCAGTGGCATGTTATCGTTGCGTCCAGCCCGGGCACATTGCATCGCGTTGTCCGACGAGGGCTACGGGACCACCGACCTTGGCGCCGAGACCACCGCGACCTCCAGGCCAGGCGGACAGACCGCCCCGACCCCCAGCGAGGACTGGAGCTGTCCCGAGAGTTTACGCTCTCGGTGCCGAGCACGAGATCCAGGAGGAAGAAGAGGAGGAGGCTCACCCTGATGGAGCCGAGGCTGCCGCGATCTCAGGTACCCTATATCTCTATGGAGTTGTCTGTTACACGTTGTTTGATACCGGGGCGACCCATAGTTTCCTGAGTGCGGGAGTGGTGGAGAGGCTTGAGACAGGAGAGATCGAGCCGAGGAGTGATTTTACCATGCGCATACCTTCTGGAGAGCCGTTAGCAGTGCACGGGATCCTGCAAGGCGTACCTCTTGAGGTTTGCGGTCGTCTATTAGCCGCGGATCTAATTATGGTACCCATCGTGGGATTCGATATTATTTTGGGCATGGATTGGTTGATGAGGTACCAAGCCTACATCGATTGTCCTAAGAGGACAATCTGGTTTACAGATGAATTTGGAGGGTTCGAGTTCCGAGGCCGAGGAGCGCCAGCAGCGGATCCGATCATCTCGGCACTAAAAGCCGAGAAGATGATTAGGAAGGGCAACGAAGCTTTCCTGGTAGTTATTACGGCTACACAGGAGTCAGAGAGGAGACTGGAGGATACGCCTGTTGCTCGGAAATTCCTAGATGTATTTCCCGATGACCTGCCGGAATTACCACCTGGTCGAGAGGTTGACTTCGGCATAGACGTGCTACCGGGTACTGAGCCTATTTCCAAGGCTCCGTACCGGATGGCACCTACGGAGATGGCCGAGCTGAAGAAACAGCCGAGCTGAAGAAACAGCTGAATGAGTTGGTGGAGCAGGGTTTCATCCGCCCTAGCGTTTCACCGTGGGGAGCACCAGTACTCTTCGTGAAGAAGAAGGACGAGAGTATGCGTTTGTGCATTGATTACCGGGGGCTCAACCAGGTAACCATCAAGAATCGGTACCCGTTACCGAGGATTGATGAGTTACTGGATCAGCTACAGGGAGCCCAGTAGTTCTCGAAGATAGATTTACAATCCGGATATCATCAGATTCGGGTGAAGGAGGATGACGTGCAGAAGACGGCGTTCCGGACGAGATATGGACATTTCGAGTTTGTGGTTATGTCTTTCGGGCTCACGAACGCGCCTGCGGTTTTCATGCAGCTTATGAACCGCGTGTTCATGGACTATCTGGATAAGTTTGTCATCATCTTTATTGACGACCTTCTCATCTACTCACCGGATCTGCAGACGCATGAGGAACATCTGCGGAAGATATTGTGGAAGCTGAGAGAGAACCGGCTGTACGTGAAGTTCAGCAAGTGCAACTTTTGGCTACAGGAGATTGGTTTCCTGGGACATGTGGTATCAGCCCAGGGTATTCAGGTCGATCTAGCCAAGATCGAGGCCGTCATGGAGTGGCAGTCTCCGACTTCTGCGACGGAAGTTAGGAGTTTTCTTGGACTAGCTGGCTATTATCGGCGATTCGTTGAGGGGTTCGCCAAGATAGCTCGTCCTTTGACGAAGCTGACGGGGAAGAACGTCAGGTTTGACTGGACGACCGAGTGCGAGGAGAGCTTCAGAGAGTTGAAGCAGAGGTTGACTAGGGTATATGGCTGGACCCTATGGTGGACTCCATACGGGTATGATTGTATTTCCGTTGTGTCATGGACTTGACATCGGTAGTCACGAGAGTGACAGACGCAGGAGACGCGCACGATCGCATGCGATGCGATGGCCAACGTCACGCGAGTGACGGGCGTGGATTCGCCCCTGGTCATGGACTTGACCAGGGTATACGGCTAAGCCCTATGGTGGACTCCATACGGGCGTGATTGTGATTGCTATTTACGTGCTTACTGTGTTTTACTCATTGCATGTGCTTTTATAGAAATGTCGACTGTACCGTTCTCGTTGGGAACGGGATTTCCAGGTTCAACCCGGGCTACTCACTAAGCAGTTGTGCTTAGCCCTCGTGGTTTACATTTTTCAGATCAAGAGGATTACGCCTAGCGCATCCGGCAGACGACGACCTGAGAGAGGCAGCATCATGTACGGGATTTACATTTTGGGTTACGGGACTTGTATTTCCCGCATTTTGTACGGTTAAATTATAACTATTCGGACATGTGTTATTTTGCGATACTGATCGCCTGTTGTATTTTCCGCTGCTTACTCTATTAGTTGAAAAATGATTTTGGATTTCATATTTTTTCTTCCGCATTATTATTTTATTACTATTTGTCCATGTGGTACAACCCGTATACTGTACATGGGTTACGGTTGTCACAGGATCTGTCCGTTAGAAATAACAATTTTTTTAATGAGTCATGAGGGTTGGAAAATATGGTCAAAACCAGATATTTTATTCAACTGTCTTGAAATGAGTTTGACATTTTAACGACTCACCGAACAGTTATGCAAACATCTGGATGTATAAAGAGACACAACGAAGTTGAAGTTAAGCTATTTGTCAATTGTGTATAAAAACAAAATTTTGACATATATAACGAATGATTTTTATGTCACTTGTTATCTCATCGATAAAGTACTTTAGGTAGAGATGACATCCATTAAAGTGAAGCTCTTGTTGGTTTAGTGCTCTATGATGAACTGTTGTATGAGCTTTCTTATGATACATTTGATGTATTGACACTTTCTATGGTTTTATTGATGAGTGTTTGATTCATTACGTATTGTGTATACTTTAATATGTTATGAAATCCATATATTGTTATGAACAATACTAAAGTCCCTAGTCATATGTCATTGTGAGAAGAATGATATACTAAGACTAGTATGATGTATGATTGATGATCACAGAGATGATCATAGGTATTGGATACGATCACAATCATAGGTATTCGTTGGAGAACGGAATACTGGATTGACCCGCATGAGATTGTCACATGGACTAGCGTCATGACTTGAATCTCATATAACGGTTCCATGATTGGATCCTATGACCTGAGATATCTACGGAATCCAACATGAGGAGTTGCGTACTTTGAATGCGTCAAACGTCCTGCGTAACAGGAGGACTATAAAGGTTTGTATCAGGTACGACACGAATCATGTGCTGGATTGTAGATAATCAAGATGGGATTTGTATCTCTCGTAAAAGAGAAAGATATCGCTGGTGCCCTCGTGTGAGCGAGAAAATGTGTGGCCGCACTATAGACGAACGTCGTCTATTTCACACAGTCGAACTCAGTGAACGAGATAGCAGTCGAATCAAATAAGGTGGCTTGTCCATGCCTAGTGTTCGACATATGATATCGTGATACAAAAGGATCATCAACCAGAATCATCACAGACGTTCGTAAGATCACGAACAAATTCTATTCGAGATAGATAGTCATAGTGTCTTGCTAGAGACCACCTATGACTTGTATAGCCGAAATAGAGATTTCGGGTTATACTACTATATCGGATGAGCCTACAGGGTCACACACACAGGAAAGGACAAACGCACGTGAAAAGACGAGAATTTTCCGGTGGAGCGCAAGCCAGACCGACCGGTCCAGAAGGTTTGGACCGATCGGTCCAGACGTAGACCGATCAGTCAAATGGTAACGTGCAAATGTTGCTCGGTCCGGAAAATATTCCAGACCGATCGGTCCAGACGTCGGTCTGATACAGCGGAAGATTAAAACCATTCATTTTAAATATAATACAGCGGAAGACGTATAAAATACATAAATACGTTTGTACACGTATGCAAATATACTAGTATATAATACAAGTGGTGAATGTATAATTCAAAAGTCTGAAGTCACCACTCTTTTATTTTCGAAAAATAAGTCCAAAGTAAGTATACATGATCTGGAAGTCCAATTGTCACTGGAAGCCACGTCTGCCTTAGTCACTACTGTTGCTCACGACCTGAAACGTTGCGTAACAACGTCCTAAGCTATATGCTTAGGGAGGAATTCGGGTGTAACCCGAGATTTCTATTTTTATTGAAAACGGCCAAGCAATATAGTCAATATTATAATATACAAGCGACGAGAAATATCAATCAGATCAATCAGATCAATCATCGTGAAAATCAATCAGCAATCTCAAACAAATCCGTCAATCGTCTCTACGTGTATCTCACACGTAGGTAATTCAACAACTCATTCATGCCTGTGTCGAACACGAGGCGCAACAGTCCAAGCAAAATCGTTTGCGAGGACCTCAAGTGATCTTCATACTCCTCATCGGTCACCGATATCACGACTCTCGGTACCGATCATCTCCATACCCACTCCAGACATCGATCCCCGATGTCGTCGACTGCCGGGCAAAGCAGCTCTATGCTAACTCCCCCTCGCCGACCATCCGCCTCGGAAAATACTCATCAGACCCGAGCTCAAGTCTTTCAAAGTATATCCGTACCACCTCGCCGGGGGACACACGCAACTACCCGGGTCTCAGGTTTATTTGCCTATCAACGGGTGACACACGCAAACCCGAAGTCCGTTCCATGGCCAATGGAACGTTGGCGCGGTTGCCAAAGAACCGTACTTCCTCGTCATGCATTCGGGTGACACACGCAAACCCGAATACATGAGTCGTAGGATGCCATAACCGTTCATCAGGGAACGATGGCGCGATCGAAGATCGCCACAATCACAATCACAATCACAATCACGTCTCCACAAGATGATAATCGATCCGGATCGAATATCATATCGCGAAGATTTACAATCAAGACAATCATTGTGATATTATAAAAAAAAAACCCATCTACAATCATACACTGAACAATACCCAGACCCATCCGAGTAAGGTCAATGCCATGTCATCTACCCTGACAAGATTTCTCAATCACAAACGGTCATGCATTATTACTTACCGTACACAAGGTCAAGCATAATTTCTTTTAAATTTGTTCTTATGTATTTTACTTATTTTTATGATTTATTGAATCTTTTAAATCATCGGTACGATCAAACTAGGTTCCGGCCCGTCCGGATTACTAGTTCGGCTCGTCCTGAGATTGATACTTACCCGGTCACATCGTTTGGTCTGAACTATGTATGGTCCGGTTTGAACTGAGTTTAGTCATATTTTGGTTAAATTCTGGCTTTACGATTAGATCGAGTCGGTCCAATTTCTGAATCGTTTGCTTCATTATTTATTCATTTATTTATTATTATTATTTCTTTATTATTATTATTATTTTATTATTATTATTTTGGCAGTTCGTGTTAGTCCAGTTTATGACCCATCCGATCTTTTTGTTTGATTTATGTACTTATTCATTTATTTGTTATTATTATTATTATTATTATTATTATTATTATTATTATTATTATTATTATTATTATTATTATTATTATTATTATTATTATTATTATTATTATTATTATTATTTTATATATATATGAATTTTTCGTGTTTCTTTGTCTAGAACCTTAGTCTGGTCGGTGTGGAACCCGTCCGACCCGGTCTAGACTTTGAATATTATTTAAACACAATAATTCATAGATATAAAAAAACAATCATAAATATTCAAGCAACACGAATCAATCAACAATTTTACACACACACAATCAAACTCCGAAGACAATAAAAATAAAATTCTCGAATCACATCCAAATTCACTCACCTGAATTATGCCGATTATTTTGCTGTGACGGTAGTGTTTCTCCGGATTGATTAGAATCCTCTCAATAATAAATTTTCTTTTTACTTTACTATATATATATATTTTTTACTATTAATTATATTTACTATATTATTATTTTTTTACTTTTTGTTTTTACTCTCTCTCCCTATATATTTTTTTTTCTCTTGCTCGCACTCTCACTCTTGCTCTCTCCCTCACCACGACACCTCCTTTTATAGGAGAGAGTATCTTTTTTTTTATTCATTTTTTTTATAAATATTATTAATATATTTAAGTGGCAGAGCCATTGTATATTTATTTTATTATATAATATATATGTATTTATAACGTGGGCGGCTTAATGCCCACCTACTTATTTATATATATTAATAAAAATAATATTATTTATTATATTAATATATTTTAAGCTTTAATTAATTGAAAAAATTAGGGTATTACAATCTATCCCCCTTAAATTGAATTCGTCCTCGAATTCATGATGAAGTCAGGGTAATATTGGTATACCGAATAGATACGGATACTCAGATAGTGGTCACGTATATCCCGCTTTGACTCCCATGTCATATTCGAGACTCCTTGACTTCGGTATATGACCTTGAATAAAGGAATCTCTTTGTTTCACAATTGCTTGATCTTGTGGTCAACGATCTGTAGTGGTTTGTCTTAAAATCGGACATTGCTGATCAGTTCAATCACTTGCGGCAAGTTCGGACGATGATTTCAAGCTATACGCTATAATTCTTTTCGCGATCACTGTATATGGTTCAATATATCGAGGCTTGAGCTCTTCCTCCTTTCCGAATCTCGCATGGCCTTTGATAGACTGTACTCGAAGAAACAGTACTTGATCACCCACATCCACTAAGAAACTTGTCTTCCCCGATCTGCATAGGATTTTTTTTCCTATACAACTCATAAATGAGTCTTAATAGTGTGGTTAATCTTCGTTGTCTC